TTATAGAATTCTTAAGAAATATAATAAACTTTATTAGAATTTATAGTATTTAATTATAAAAAAAGTTACTAGAACTTATAGACTAATTAATACTACTATAAAAATGAATTTAGTAATCCTATAAAATACTAATCTATTTCTATTTACTAATAAGATTTTGGAAAAATTTATTATATATATTTATATTTCTCTAATTAATTTCTTTTCTAGATATAATTAACTTATATTAGATATTTATAATATTTTTAAAACTATTAAAATAACTATATATTATTTTAGAGAGTTACTAATTCTATTATATAGTTTATATAGATTATTATAATTATTCTAGAAAATCTGTTTCCTAAAATTATTATATTATTTATTAATAATATTAGAATTAAAGAATCCTATATAGACTATAATAAATAGTTTATTTTATTTAGTATTTAATATTTTATATTTAAATATTTTTAAAACCTGGATATAACTTTAGATAAAATTAAATAGACTAGAACTAGTATTAGAAAAAATTATAATTCTATTATAATAATATAATTATTATTAGTTTTATTTATAAAATATTTAAAAGAAGTTCTTTAAATTCAGGAATTACTAAAATTTTAAAATAGAAATATTATAATAGTATAACTAAAAATAAAGTATTTATTAGAATTATTATTTATTACTATATTTAGATTAAAGGCTTTATAATTATTACTAAACCTATTTATTACTTAATAAGGAAAGATATAATATAGAAATAGAATAATAAATAAATATAAATTATATAAATTCTTTAAGAAAAACTTATTATTATATTAATATTTTATAAATTATATTATAATTTATTAAAAGATTAGAAAATAATTATATTAGTAATAAATACTAGTCTAGATAAATAAAATAGAATTTTTAGTTAATATAATAATAATAATAAAAAAGTTATATAATATAAGTCTAGAATCTAAAATAATACTAAATAGAAATATAATATTACTAAAAAGAAATATTAAAGGCTAATAAAGTATTTGTAGAAAATATAATTCTAGCTATATAGAATTTATTTTATTTTTAAACTAGATATTAATATATTTATTATATAGCTAAATAAAGTAGTTATAAATCTTTTTAGAATTCTAATTATTTACTAGCTAATATAGATTTAATTATTTGATTTTAAAATTAAATATACTCGAGTATTAGCTTCTATTAATCTTATAATATAATTATATTAGAAAGTTTCTTTTTATAAGTTAATTATTTAGAGACTTTTAAGACCTACTTATTTCTTTTATAATTTCTATTTAATTTTATCTCACCTAATAATATCTAAATAAACTATTATATTTATAAGAGGCTTTATAATTATATTTATATTCTTAAATACCTTTATAACTAGATAATCTCTATTTTAGAAGTCGGCTATTTTCTTATAATACTTTATATATATATATAATATATCTAATATAATTAGTATAATATTTCTTTTTAGATATAATTCTTTTAATTTTTTTTAGAAATCGTTATATATTTCATTTATAAAAATATAATAAAAAGTAATTTTATTATAGAATTATATAAGAAATAGTAATAGGCTAATATTATTAATATTAGCTAATCTAGTATATTAAATAAATTTTACTAAAACTTATAAATATATTTATTAGTCTTTAAACTAAATATAATATTAATAGAATTAGTTATATTTATTGGATTTATATAGGTAATAAAGAAGCAGACTTAATTAAAGCCTTTATACTATATATTTGCTTTAAATAATAAATCTATAATAAAGAAACTAAATAGTTTTATTATAGCTTCTAATAAAATAGCTAACTTATTAGTAAAAATAGTAAAATAAGCTCTTTTATAAATTAGAAATATTTTCGGAACTAGTAATATATATAATAAATTCTTTTCTTTTATATAAACTAAGTTCTTAGCTAGTAGATTACTATTAATAATAGCTATATTATTATTTAGCTATAAGAAATACTTTTTATATATAATAAATTCGGGAATTAAAGAAATTCTTTCTGGATTTAAGAGGCTTTAAAATATAATAGTATTCTAGTTAAGATTATTAAAGAGTCTAAATAAGTTAATTTCCTATAAGAATTAATAAGATTAATATTATTATATTAAAGAGCCTTTCTTGATTTTACTTGAACTTTATACTATTATTCCCGTATAGTTCCCTAATTAAGAATATTTCTCAGATTATTTAAAAGTTTAAAGTAATATATTAATATTAGATATAATAATAAAAAAAAGAAATATAATTAAATATAATAATAAAATTAGAGAATATATCTTTTTTATAATATATCTTAATCCGAAAATAGTAAATAAAAGCCAGGTTAGTAATTTGTTTATTATAGGATTTATATAAGACTTATATACTTAAAAGATATTATTAATCTATTATTTAAATAATTAAAATATTTTTTTAATAATAGATTTATCCAAAATAATCTCATATAATTAGTTTTATTTATTTAATAATATCTAATAGCCTAAAAACATATATTTAGATTTTATTATATTAAAGTATTATTATAAATATTAAAGTAAATTAAAGCAGAATATAAGCTTATAAAATTAATTTCCAAATATTATTTAGAAATACTAAATTAGTAAAGGAAATAATCTTATATCTAATCTAGTAATATAATTAGTATATATAAAAATTACTAAAAATACTTTATTTTTAATTTATTATTATATAATAATTATTTAAAACTAGATAGTATTTTATATAGCCCAAATAACCTATATCTTATATATACTTTAGTTTATTTATATAATAAGGAGCTTATTTGAGAAAAAAAGCAAAGTCGAATATAAGCTAAATATATATTAAATTTGCTTAGAATTATATAATATATTTATAAAAAATAAAATAAAATAGCCGGTTTATAAATAAGGTAGTTATAGCTTTCTTAACTACTAACTTTAGCTAACATACTTCTTTATAATATTGTTTTAATCTTTAATTCCGGCTTAAATAAGCAGGCTTAAAGGTATTTTAATATTAAATCTTAACTCTTAATCTAAACTATTACTATTACTACTATTAACTAGTATAGAATAATACCTTTTAATTTATACTATCTAGTAATAGCCCCAGAACTAGATTTGCTTGTATTTTAGTTAAGTAGTTTAATAAAGTTATTCTTATTAAAGAAAGTTATTTATAAAAAGAAAGTTAGATATTATGTAATTAAACTTAATATACTTTAATCTGAAACTTATCTCTAATTATGGATTTTTCTCTAATTCTAATATCTTTTCTTTATTTACTTTTGGCCTTTTTACCTAATTAGATTTTGGCTAACTCAAGCGGATTTAAGAGCTACTTGAGTAGTTTAATTTAGGCGTTAGCTCTAATTCCGACTATACTACCGATTCTGCACCGCATTACACGGTCCCCGTTAAAACTTGGTTATTATTTCGACCCTATCCAGAAACAGCGTTTAACTTCTCTACAAACGACAACCTTTATAATTGGCATTTTATTCCTATTCAAAAACAAAGTTCTCTATATCCAGAAACGGACTCCCCCTTCTCTCCAAGATATCCTAAGAATCCTCATGTCCGAGCCGTCAATGATTTAATCAATCTTCTCTCCCTATTCTCGATGAGAGTGCTTGCAGGTGAAACGACCTCACTTCTCCACAAACCACATCCAACCTCTTACAATCGGCACTTTAACCGCATCCAGAAACAGCGTTCTCCACAAACGGCTCCTTGATGATTCTAGGAATCCATGTACTTCCAGGAATGGCAGGACTCCTGGGAGGAAGGCTTCCAGGATCATGGTGGATTCCAGGAGCAAAGATCCTGGAAGCCTGTAAGCTCATAGGACCGTTTTAGCTCCCGGGAAGAAAGATTCTGGGAGTAGTTTGGCTCCCGGAATATTTTGGTATCCCCATATGATATCACTCTTCCTCGTGTTTATCACCACGTATCTCAATCCGCTTCGTCCATCCGAACTCTTGCTACTCGACCCATGGCCACCCAACCTTGATTGGAATGACTAACTGGACAATGTAGCTGCATTCAAAGTTTCTGTTCTGAGCTCGAATTAAAGGCGCTGGATCTCTGCCCTTATCACATACTCAATGCCTAATATCAACACCTCCAATAGCAATGTCCTCCTGCAATATCCTCTAACATCACGCCCAGACCCTTGATCCCCAGCGAGATGTTTTAAGGCTTTCCTTAGATACATACCCTGATCCTTCGCAAAGGTTTTGCATTCCCTTAGGGCAAGCTGGTCAGAGGACTCTACAGTGAAACCGTAACGAGCAAGATATGTCACGAGGGAAAGAGATTAGCTTCATTTCTCATAGTAACGTCCACCCCTACATAGCGGAAAACCCTATGTACCGGAAAAAATGACAGGTACTTTGACTTTCAGTATCTTAAAATCTATACACACCTCAATATCTCCTATATTTTCTTATAAGTTATATTCCGTAACTACTCCCAGACACCTTTAACCTCTCCTACTGGAAAATCACGTTCGTATCGTCGCCTTCGCGCCTGATTTGTAAAGAGTCTCCTTTTATAGCATAACAGACTTCCTTTACTATAGCTCCACCACCGAGCTTATACTATCCCTAATACTTATAAAGGCGTCTTATCCGAGCTCTAAGGCCTCACTACTATGCAAGAACTCGTCATTATTCGTATGGCTGCTGTAGTATATAATTTAAGTAAGGTTGCCACGCGGATCAGTACTGGAGTCGAAGCGACTAACCATTTTAGGTTAGAGCAAAACGACCCCGCACCTGCTATAATACTTGGGTAATTACGACGTAACTTAATTTCACTTGTGTAATTATTTTGCCAAGCTGGTGGCTGTTGCTCGACGTCCAACCCACTATTGTGACTGATAAGCGTCCGTAGAGCCTGATACTCGCCTTCCTTATTCCGATCCTCCTCAGAAGGGTTACTCGCACTTCTTTGATCGTGCCGATCCCAAATCTCGACAAGGCTATTTAGCCTGAGCCATGCTCTTCGGCGAGGCACCAAGCAACTGGACCGCTCGCTGGCATCCCGAGCCCGAATCTCGCGGAACCTTCTCCATACTCTCCACCTGCGTCGTCACTCTCGGTCTCTGCATTTGGACGTCAGTCCACCTCAATATTCCAGCGGAGAGCCGGTCTCCGAAGCGGGCGTGTTGGGATCCTAGAGGATGGGTTACAAAGCAACAATGGCGGAAGCTGGGCTGGCTGATTCTGGGAATACTGGCCCCTGAAATGGTACAGAAAGTTCCCGTACCGACCCTTGAAGGATGTATACGACTGACAAGATGTTGCAGGTAGCATTTACCGCGTGGGTTCAGAGACGAAAAGCCCAACGCTTCACCAAGGATATGCAGCAATTGCTCGAGAAGAAAGCTCAAACACAGAGAGATCGGGAGTCCGAAAATCCCGAGGATATGGAGATGAGTGCTGTTGACTCTACGGGACGGGATCTGGAGGTCAGAGATACTTGGACCTTGACGCACAGCTTCTATGCTCTCATGGGTGGCTTTGCCTTTGATACATCCAACCTTCAACCAGATGAAAAGTTCCTCCCTGGTTCCCGCGATCGCGTCGTGCTATCTAAGGATGGTCTTATCTGGTTAGCCGAATACGAACCTGAACTGCTCCCGGATATCTCTAAGGCAGACATTCTCGACAAGAGCAATGCCAGTCAGCTTGCCAAGACCATCGTGTGTCTTCAGGTGGCCTGGTTCATCATTCAGTGTATTTCTCGTTTGGCGCAGGGTCTCCCGATCAGTTTAGTAGAGTTAAATACATTCGCCCACACAGTCTGCACCTTACTTATCTACTACTTCTGGTGGGACAAGCCATTAGACATCGAGGAGCCAACAAAAATTAGTGGCAAAAGCGTGCAGGGCGCTTGTGCCTGGCTTTGTTACTTTACCGAGTTCGACGGCCAACGAGATAGTGATTACCTGGAATTTATTAACAGTGGGATTGAGCCTTCCCCAGTGCTCTGTCTTCGACATGCATCTTCTGGAAGTGAGTCTTCTGCTGCAATTCTCACAACTAGTCTTCCGATTCGACAGACAAAGTTAGCGGCTGAGCGGCAGAAACTGTATATGGGTCAAAGTATTGCCGGACTCTACTACCAACGCTACCAACGACATCGCCATTATGCAGAGTCGCGGTGTTCTGGGGAAAGGGGCATCCTCTCACTTCATCGACCATATCTACTCTATTCCCCCCCCGACCACCGTCGCTGGTTGTTGACTTCTCACGCACTAAGGCGCTATGAAAACATCAGGAAGGTGTGTGACGCTCTGCAAGATCGAGAAAGGAACTGGCCCATTGACTTTGATTTCGGATCGGTATCGGTATTCGATCTTAATACAGAGGGTAAAGAAGACTACTGGGACAAGTATTTCGTATTTATGGCTGGCTTCACATTCGCAGGGCTGTTTTATGGGGGCCTTCACCTCCTGGCTTGGAACGCGCCCTTTATGTCACATGTCCAACGAGTTTTGTGGCGAATGTCCGCAGTAACAATAGCTGCATCAGGGCTGGGCGTTCTTGTTTATCATCTTGCACTACCATTCATCGTCGACTTCACCATACTAGGGAATCCCACACGATGGAATCTCGGGGTCTATTTAATTTTTCGTTATTTTATCGATACTATTTTTGTTGTTGATATCTATCTCGTTTCCGTTTCCGTAATATATCTCTTCGCCCGAACCTATATTGTTATCGAATGTTTTCTTTCCTTGCCATACCTCCCTGATTCTGTTTTCCAGCAGCCTCTTTGGTCTCATTACTTCCCTCATATTACATAGGTACCAAGATATTCTTATTCTCTATTCAGTAGAAGATAGTTCTTGAAACTCTTCTAGTTGCGTCCCTGGCTCTGTCATGGTATCGATCAGGGGTTCTGTCCCACCCCTGCAGAGGCTTTTGAGGCTTTTGAGGCTCCTCTTGTATATAAACTCCGACGCCCTTTGCATCCTCTTGGGCCCTCTGTGTTTGTATATAATGGCGGACCCGCTACCTCGTTTGATGTTGCGACTCAAAAAGACCGCAGCGTCGGCTCGATCCGCAGCCTCGATCTGCTCTTGCGTCCAACCCTTGCCTCGAAGATCGAGATCCCTCATCCGACGTTCGTACTTCGCCTTTTCAACAGAGTACTTGTAAGGATCCCTCCACTTGAGATCACTTATTGCCTCCCACTCTTCACGGGCTCTTCGGTCGCCTTCCTCATCTTCGCGTTCGTTCCTGGCCTCGTCTACGAGGCCTTCTTTGAGGAAAATTCTCTCGAATCGATACGTCTCCTCATCCCAATGCATACGTTTTCGGTTCAACGGCCAGGCTACCGTTGAAGGGGTACAGAATCATCTAGCAGAACTCTTCGCAGATGTACCAGCCGCTGGAATTGGACCACTCGAATTGAGTCACTTGAACGCTTCGATTTCTACAGTGCTTACAAGAGCTGCGACTAACAATCATCTCAGCGGTACTAGGCAGTAGCCTGAGTCACATATACCTATCCTTTGCAGAGACACTAGGCAGTAGTCTGAGTCATTGCTACCTAGAGAGCTTAGTATGTACTCATACATTGCTCTCTTCTCTTCTTGGATAGAAAAAATACAGTTCTTTCATCATACAAGAAATCATCAGGTAGGCACTTGATTCACACAGGATTCCCGAGGTCAGCCGTTAGTTTTAAATACTTTTCGAGGGCTTTCTCCTCCGACGGAGTGAGATACAGTTGGCCTTCGGCCTTCGCTTTAATAGAGGCCCACCTATAATCGCGATAATAAAGGGTAGTTAGAGGGACCCCATTACGTTTTGATATGGCATTGTATATTCGAGGCTCTCCCGGCAGGGAGGCCTATGCAAGGGCTTTACTGGCGCGGTCTCTCATGAAGCACTACCTCCGTACCTTATATAGAGATGGGATGGGGATTAGAACGACTAAATGGCGCTCCGTGTGGAAGCAGCCACGTGGCTGCTTGTTGAAACTTCTAGAATAACGCCACACTTCACGTGAGTTTCGTATAATACTTCGTATGCAATATACGATTAATTTAGCGTAGCTGTAAATATAATATTATGTAAGCACCTCCTTCGCTTATTAAGATGCTTGGCGTATTATATACCTCCTTCCACTTTGTCCAGATAAATCCGGCATGAAGTTTCCTTCCGCTCTATAGCTTTAAAGTTTGGAGCTATATCCTTTCTTAATAGGAGCTTCGTATTACGGTCCCGAAATTTAGAGACAGGCCAATAGTTATAATAGAGCAGGGGGGAATAGCTAAAGGGCTTTTAATGCCATTAACGGGATAATTAATAACATAACTACTACTATAGTATTTTCTTACTATATACTAAAGCCTTATAGACAAATAGCTAAAGAATAATAGTAAACTAATTATAACTTTATATATTTATATAATAGAGATTTAAGATATCTAAATTATGAAATCATTCCGGTATATAGGATTTTCTGCTATATAGGAATAAATATTAGTTCTATATTTAGAATTCCGTAATTTTAGCCTTTTTATAGCTTATACTAGAGCCAGTAGGCTAAGTATTAGGTGCTTTCCCTTCTCCTTATTCTTCCGAGCCAAAATTTTCCCTTTTTTTTTTAGGAGGCACTTCTTAATATCTTTTAATATTATGTTTTTTGAGAGAAAATAGGTAGTTTACTAAAAGTAAAATATTAGTACTTATATATTAAAGTAAATTATTACTTTATTTACTATCTCTATTATAAATAGTAGCTATAATATATAAACCTTGAATTTATATATAGTATATTAATTATATTTGCAAATAATTAAAGCTATATTAATATTATTAAATTGTTCTATTTTATAAGCTTTTATAATTAAAGTTTCTATTCTTCTATTTATTTCCTTATTCTTTTTTCTTTTTTTCTCTTTATTATTTCATTTAATATTTATAGTATTTATTAATACTAAAAGATAATCTGTCCAGAATAGTTTTAATATATTTTAAATATTAAGCCTAAGGTATTTAAAGGTTATTTATTATTTAGATCTTTTATTTAGATAGCTATTTTTAAGAACTTTTATATAATAGCTAATAAAGATATAAGAACTAATTTTGAATTTATAGTTATATAATAAAGAGCTTAAATTAATTTCCTCTAAACTAAAGTAATAGAGAGCTATATTTAAATCCTTAATTCTCTAAAATCTTAGCCGGAAAGAAAGTCTTAATTAAGTAATAAAGGGCCTAAATCGGCTCTTTTAAATCCAAGTAATAGAAAGCCAGATTTGAATTTCTTTAGATCTAAAAATAGGCTAAGCTTTATAAGCTTCTTTATAGTTTACTTATTTTTATAATATATAATTCTGTTTAGTTCTTGTTTTTTTTATAAGACTAGATAGAGATTTTATAATTCCTGAAATTATAAAACTCTTATTAGCTCTTAATTAATATTTACTTTTATATTTCTATCTTTAAAATAATAAAAATAATAGTAGTACTTAAATAGCTAATACTTATTCTATAATACTATTTATTCTAAAACCTTTAAATCTTATAATAATAAGTAATTATTATTAACTAGATTTAAAAACTAATTATTTATAAAAATACCTCTAGTTTTATTCTTTTAGTCTATTATCTATAATCCCATATATTAATTTAAATATAAATTCTATAATAATAATAAAAATAAAAATTTTAAAGAAATTTATATAAAAAAAATATTATAAAAGTTATATTAATATATTTTAAATAAAATTTTTAAAAATAAAATTATTAAAAATAAAATTATTTAAATTATTTAATATTAATAATAAGCTTTATATATTTAAGGGGTCTTATTTATTAAAAATAAAAGGATTTTATAAAGTAGTTACTTTTAATTAATAGAAGTGTTTTTCTCGAGTATATATTTTAGTACGGGGCGTATTTTGGTATAAGGTATTAGTTATAAGCTTGAGGCACTATTAGGGATGGCTTAATTAAGGATTTAGCTTGACTATTATTATATAATTAAATATAATAGTAAATTAACTATTATGTATTATATTAAGTAGGTCTTGGGGGCATAGTTCCTAATTAGGCTAGCCGGTGTTTCTAGCTAATAGAATTAGTAGAGGCAGGCTTAATAAGTATATAAATTCTTATAATTCTCGATACTCTCCTTTCTAATTATTATTAATTAATTAACTACCAACCTGCTATTATGCCGCCTTTAACTAATACCCATAGCCTTTATAGCTATTGCACTATTGCCGCATAATTTACGATTATTTACCCTATTCCAGGCTGTGGTTTTACCTCCCAAAAGGGCTAGTGCAAGCATTATATAGCCAAGCCCAAGTCTTGGAATATTACTCTGAATTAGGGTTCTTACCTGAAGGATTATATAGGTTAAAAGGAGTACCAAGAGAAGAATTAAATTAATATTTAGTCCAAGAGAAAGAAACAGCCAGCTGTTTCTTTATACTTTTCTCTGCTTGAGAGCACTTTTGAAGAGCTTTTTGCTCTTGTAATTTACACCTTAATAGCAAGCTTTTCCTTATTTATAATCCCCGAATAGATAGCATTCATGCAAAGCTCGGTTTCAAAGCTCTTATACGCAAAGCACTTGCTAGTATACTTCTTACGAACTGCTATAATAAGGTCAAAGCTAGGGTTTAAGCTATTACAGATATTATATTATATCTTCAAATCATCGTTAATAGATTATCGAATATTGGCAAGATACGCATCGAAAATACCTCCTTTCTTGTTAATAGCATATTATGCTATTGGAATTCGATTGGAATTAGGTCAGTTAAGGCTAGTGCGGAATGGATAGTTAATAATATAATTAGAAGTACCGGTGAGATTACTAAAGAAGCTTACTACTAGTAAACTATATTCTCCTCCGATATATATAATATATAAAGAAGAGTATAGGCCGATCTTGTTCTTAAACCCGAGGCTACTTACGTTCTTTTAGTTCTATACGATTCTTACGGTATTCAATTAATTTTCAAGGATCTCCTCTTCTCTAGAAAGGACCTTTTCCAAAACCAAATTATTACTGGACTTGGTACGTTTTTTAAGAGCTTCCCAAATAAAATTGTAGCCGCATTTTCGAAATCTGATAAGTAATTAGTATACTTACGAGAAGCTATAAAGAAATGCAGTGGAAATATTGCCTTAATTATAACTGTACCAATATACTAGGGCACTCAAGTTCGTCAAATCGCCTCAATTAATAAGTTGTCCGAAGCTTTAAAAGTATATACCAAACTTCCAGACAATAATCCTCGAGAACCGGTCGTAATTAAGTTAATACTTCGTTGCGATAATAACGATTAGCAAAGGAATAAGGCCCTGGAATAGCTTCTTGAGCCTATTTATATATACCAAAAGATGTCCGAATCAAACCACTCGATACTTGAAAAGGTTTACCCTTATTAGATAGATATTAATATATATATATAAAGATTTAGGGTATAAGAAAGCGGGCTATAGTGGCAGGAAGTCAGTAATTACTATACTCATATTAGTAAAGGAGGTTGGAATATATGAATGGAGGTACAGCTTCTTCTAATTCACCTGGTTGCGTATATACTCCTTCCACAACACTATACGGTTATTCTTACGGACAGATTTGCTAGACAGGTAGATGCCTTTATACTTTCCAGGCTTGGAAATAAGGGCTTTTACGAGTTCTACTAATATAAGAAGAAGCAGGGTAATTTCCATTCTTTGAGCCCCTATTAGATGCACTTTAGTAGTAATACGGCACCTTTTTGGGAGATCTCAGTAAGTAGCTAAATATATTATTATTATTTTGCTAATTAGACTAGGTAATCAAGTTCCTAGAGCTAGCTAAATTAGTACTTGATCTCCTTTATACTACTACGAATTCGGTAGCTTCAGAGCGTATCTTCTTTATAATGAACTTCCTCTAATCAAAACTATGAAATCGCATGAATATTGAGACAATGGATATACTCTGTTTTATATATATTAGTAGCCGGTCAATACAGGCTGGGATAAAGCAGACAGATCAAGAGGAGGTATTATTGAGGGAGTTAATAGCTAATTTATTACTTAATTAAAAGGATAATTTAGTCAAAAGTAATATAGCTAGCGAGGGCGACAATAAGGCGGACTGGATAGATATGGAGGCTTTATTTGATAATATTCTAGCTACTGAATAAGATATTAATATGGCTTGAATATATATCCTTATATTCTAGAAGTATCAAATTTTACTCTTATATAACCTATGTTTTATATAAAAAATTATAAATTATATATAAATTATGCATATAATATCTGGCTTGACCATTATTAATAAATAATGGCTAGACCATTATTATTTAATTAAATCATTAAATTTAGCGCATCCCTAGAGGTACTAACAAACGTGATCCACTTTGCTTTCGCGGAGCAAGCCTTGCAGCCTTGCTCTCACGCCAGTTCGAAATTACAACACAATACAAACTCATTCCCTCACTGAGCTAGCTTACTTGACTTGGGGCGTTGTAACACGTTGTGACCACCACAGACGACCCAACCACCTCCAGCAGTATATCTCTGCTTATGCGGCCACCATGAGCCAGATATTATCGCCACGACAGGCCGAGGAGCTGTGAGCCAGCTTGAAAAACGTACAAAATAGTTATAGTCACTGATTCGAGTCCAGGCACAAGTCAATAATCGCGTACCTTAATTCGATAAACCAATCCAGCATTGCCGCAACATTACAAGAAACGCTCGGTATCAGTAGCAGCTTCGATGCTCCGACCATGAAAAGATACGAAGGACTCTTGGAGAAGAAGTGGACGAGTGTTGTCCGCTTGCAGAAAAAGGTGGTTAAGCATTGCGGGTATATTTAAAAAGTTACTAATTTTTCTCTAGATAATGGAATTGGAATCTAGAACCGCGAGCTTGCAGGGCGAACTCGATCAAGCGACACCATCCTCCCTCTCCAGACGAAATCAGGATCCTGCCAGTTGGCTTCCTAAATCACCAGCAAGACTCACGCTCCAATCACATAGAGAGCCTGTAACTTGCGTGGCCTTTCATCCAATATTCTCTTCACTTGCCTCTGGTTCGGACGACAATACTATCAAAATATGGGATGGGGAACTTGGAGAGTTAGAAAGGACGCTCAAGGGCCATACAAGAACTGTTTTGGATGTCGATTTTGGTGGGCCAAAGGGAGGCACTCTGTTAGCGTCTTGTTCGAGTGATCTTACCATCAAATTGTGGGATCCTAGCACTGAGTATCAGAACATTCGAACACTTCCTGGGCACGATCATTCAGTCTCCGCTGTCCGTTTTATATCATCCTCGGGAAACCTTCTCGTTTCCGCCAGTCGAGATGAAACTCTTCGGATATGGGATGTACTAACAGGATACTGTGTGAAAACAATTCGTGGACAAAGTGATTGGGTTCGGGATGTGTCGCCTTCTTTCGATGGAAGACGGCTAGTGTCTGGTGGGTATGATCAAATAGGACGGACATGGGATGCCACATCAGGAGAAGCAAAAGCGACTTTGATTGGCCACGACAACTACATTGAGTGCTGTGTGTTCGCGCCACCGTCAAGCTACAAGCACCTAGCAACTTTGGCCGGATTGGAAAAAACACCACCGGCAGGAAATTCAGCCGAATACATTGCCACTGGGTCAAGAGACAAAACTATAAAGCTATGGGATAGTCGAGGGGCTTTGATCAAAACCCTTGTGGGCCGTGATAGCTGGGTGAGAGGACTAGTATTTCATCCTGAAGGCAAGTACCTGATCAGTGTCTCTGATGACAGGACCCTACGTTGCTGGGATCTTTCTCAAGAAGGAAGATTAGTAAAAACCTTGGAAGACTCCCATGGACATTTTGTTAGCTGCATACGATGGGCCCCTAGTCTTGTGAATGATTCACCCATAAAGGGAGTTGGAACGGTAACTAATGGAGACTCGAGGAAGGAAGATGCTATCAAGGTTAGAAGTCGATGTGTAATCGCCACAGGAAGCGTAGATCTGAATGTACGCATCTTTGCCTCATGAGTTTCAATGGAGTTATTCACTCAAAGAACTGGGTCAAGGCCTTCTATATATCCTTTTGATGCGTTCCTGGGTGCGAGCCTGCGAGTGGTATGCGGGAATAAGCTCGAGTGGCTGGGTCGGACCGACTGCACGAGAGCCAATTATTGGCCAGCGGGAGCGCCCCACTCGATCGAATCCGGCGGATTCCAGATGAAAAAGAGGCGCACTCGGCTCTGAGTCAGCACAGATCCAATCCACGTGACCTACCCCACCTCAGAGGCACCACGTTAATCCGCTCCGGGTTAGGACAATCTCGTCCAATCTCGTCCAATCTCCCCCCACAACGGCCGCCAGCAGCGGGTCCTGACATCTCGCTCGCGAGTGACGCAGCCCCCCGCCGCCGCTGCAAGAATGCGCTGTCAACAACAAAGCAACAGTAACAGCAGCAGCAGCAGCAGCAGCAGCAACAACAATAACACCACCACCACTACCAGTTGGTCTCGACCTGCGCATCATGGCCGTTCATCCTGACCGCATGTCAGCGCCTAAAATATCCGAAGAGTTTCGATTCCGAGAGGATGCGAAGGAATGACAGGAGCGACTGATATACATAAAAAGCAAAAAGCTGCAACAACCAAGATGACCTAATTTCCCAGGGCCACGGCCGTCTCAAGGGTTAAATTGCGCCTGGCCGTGCCTGCACGCCACACAGGCACAGAACCGCCGCCATTCGCCATACGAGCACGCTTTTTATCCGTGGGATTGGGCAGCGCCGCTGCGCTGTGATGGCTCCTGTCGCTGAAAGTTAGTTTTCATTTCTCCTCGTCGCTCGCTCGCTCGTTCACCCACTTTGACGATCTTCCTCACGACCTTCATGACTTGACGTTCGCATATATACGTACGATCGTTTTTTTCTTGTGGACAGCGCAGTGATCGCACACCAGTCACGCACTCGAAGATGCTTTTGAGCATCGTCCTCTCCTTTGGTATCGCGGGCTCCGGCGTGCTCGCCGACTCGATCAGTCTTTTCAACCCAGATCCAGGCGCGCCGGTTACAGCTTACCCTGCCGGAGTGCGTTCTTCCCTCCCAACGAGCAAAACGAAACGAAACAAAGGAGGGAAACAGAGGCTGATGTTTGGTGTAAATTTAGGTTACAAACGGACTCACGACATATCTTTTGGGATGCAATAAATCCGCGACCGCGACAGGACCATGCGCCTTCACAGCGCCGATTACGTTGGTCGAGGGCGAGAAGACCTTTCATGTTGAGATCACGAAGCCGGTTGAGGATGGGTATACCCAGTGAGTCGCGCTCCGCTCCGTCCTCCGCTCTTTTGTGCATATCTCTTCTCTCGCGCATTGCGATGCGATGCGATGCGATACGATGTGGTGGATCCGACTCTGACGAAACGGAACAGAACCTTGACAGTCGACTGCCCAGCTGGCACAGCCGCTGGCTGCAGCGTAACGGCCCTGAACAAACAACACACGACGACGACGATTTCTCTGAACGCCTCCATGTACTCCCTGGGCGTCGTAGCCCTGCCGACCGTCGCGTCCGCTGGGGGGCTGCTGTATAACGGCATCCCGAGCCCGACGCCCTCTGCGTCCTCCACCACGAGCTATTCGTCGAATGGAACCGCCACGCCGAGTTATTCGAGTTATGCGACAGGGACGGGCGGGGCGTATGGAAACAGCACCACGACAAAGGCGTCAACGGCGAAGAGCGGTCCTTCATCCACCTCGAGCTCGAGTCCGAGCCCGGTCGCGACGAAATCAGGCGCGCTTTCTCAGTACCTTGGAGCGCAGGCGGTTTTTGCGCTGTTAGTGGGTGTGTGTGTGGTAATTCTTGGCTGGTAATTTATGATTGAGGGGGACGGGGGGAGTTGTATCTACGGGTTTGGGACAGTTTAGTACTTTCAATTCCAGGTCCATAATGTTTGCGCGATACTTGTGCCTTGAAGGACTCGTTTTTTTATTTAATTTTTGTCTCGTTCTTGAGCGAACGCTTTTGTCCCAGTTTCTTGTAACGATACCTATTTCCTTCCCTAGCGCTTTTTTTGCTGGAATGGAATTCCTGCTGCTATTTTTTTTTTATAGATCTGCCAGTTGTGATGGTGATGGCAAGAATTGCTGCGAGGTTGCAATTGGGTTGGTTAGCTGTTGGACCTGTCAGCTCTCTTCGGCGAGATCTTCTGTCTTTCCTGGGAAGAAGATAAGACATTTCATTCAGCCTCGGTTTCCAGTTTCGACCGAGTTCCGTTTTCTATGTGATGATGATGGACAGACGGGTATCCTTGTAGAGGAGGGCAGCGATTGAGGAACGCAGTTGTCGCAACCTTGCCAGTTCCTCTTCTCTTAGTGTGGTCCTCAGCGGAAGGTAGGGTGTTTCCTTAGCCTCCATTACCAGTCCCAGTGGCCCTTTGTTTCCTGTTTGTCTCTAAGGCGCAAAGCACATGTTGCTGGAATGGCACTCCATGCTTCAATGCGATTCTATTCCATGCTAATGTACCGTCTGCTTCACTTGCTAACCTAGGGAGTGAAATGTAGTCTGTTGTGGGCTGCAATTGAGGATCTCAGATGTCGGAGTCCATCCTGCGCCTGCCTGCCCCTTTCATTGAGATCGCGTGCCGTTCCTTGGAAGAAGGTGGGATGCTGCTTTGCCCTCACTGCCACTTCCGTCTGTTCATTCTTTCTGCTTTAAAGGCCCGAAGCAAACCCTCTGGAAGTTCAATCGCCAAGAAGATCCCGCTATCAGAATATGAACGCTGCGCAATCAGCAGTTGGATCCATGCGAAGCGTCCTCCGCTTCGGGGTTTGGGTAAAGGGCAACCGCCGATCCTTCTCGGCGAGAAGCTTGGGCAAGCCGGGTGAGCAGAATTGGGGTCGGCCTCGGTGGTTTCGTCAGAAGCGTTGCAGGTTTGACCGTGATTGAAGGGCGACTGGCTGGGTTTTCAGATCGAGCCTATTCCGGATTTGGCGAGCTCGCGAAGTGTATGTGTTTGCCTTGGGTTGAGGAGAAATGTGGTTCGGGAACGCTCCCCTAGCTAAAGTTTCGTTGTCGGGCTGCTCTTCTGCCTTCGACGGACATTTAGCTCTTCCCAAACCGAGAGTCTCCAGTGTACTTGGAATTGCTATTGGTACTTTCTAGGAGGGGATGTTTGAAGCTAACGATTTGGTAGATTCTGGTGAAGTGTGTTCGTTCTCGAGAGTCGACAGGGTAGGTTCGTCTGGGAAGCTTTCCTCTCAGATTGCTTTTAGAGCGGACGTGGAGAAGCGGTCTGCCGATTTTTGGCTGCTTTGGTAGTTGGTAGAGGAAGGATGGTGATAGGATGCGGACTCGGGCTTTGCTCAGGTTTGTCAGAACTAAGACCCTGTGACGTTGTGATGGTAATGGATAGCCTTGAACCGATAGCTGTTGGAACTGGCCGGGTCCTCGTGGTGATGTCAAGTGTTGCTTTTAGAAATTGAAATGTTTCCTGAACCTACAGCCCTCTTCAATCAGCCGATTCCTGGTTGTACCAGCGTTGCGGTGAGTGAAACGAAGAAATTCTAATATTCGATCTTCTCTGCCAAAGTTAGACATTGACCAGCGCGTGGAGCAGTAGAAATCTTGGAATTGAATATGTCAGACTTTCTGAGATGTTCGAAGGGGGAAGACTTTAAACTTAGCAATGACTTGAGGGACCAATAACCAGAAAATATATAAAATGATCTATCTGACTTGACTTGGGCCATCGAGAGAGAAAATCAAGTAATACTGTTTTCGTTCCTTTCGGAGCTGCCAAGTTGCCGACGGGAGTTCGGCACACCCAGAGGCCCTTGCTCATGCACAGCAGACCCTGAGATCTCGTCCTCTCCATATCGCGGTGAGAAAGCTACCGTTCGCCCCCTCTCAAATATAAGCCTCCATCCTTTCCTTCTCTGCACCTGATACTGTAATGAATGCTGTCCCGACAAGGCCGAGAGGTCCTCGCCGATCCCTCGGACGCCAGCCTCGCCTCGCCTCCTCGGCTCAACTGTCAGAGAAATTCACAGCATCGTCACTCCGCATCGAACCTAAAAATAAGGTTTCGCGGGCTTCCGACGTCTTTCCGCTCTCTCTCCACATCCCCCGATCTACGCAGTAGCTTTGCCTTTCTCAGTGAAGTTTGACGCTCGCCCCTTCCCTTCCAATCAATATTTCCTTCACGTTTCGCATTGCGCCTTCTCCTACAGGTACATTGCACTTGCTCTCCATCCAGTGGCGCTCTCTTGGTGATGCACAGGGCCGTGGCTTAGGTAAGGTTAAGTCAAGGGTTGCGCTAACGACGTCATTCCTTTCCACTGACCGCTGCGGTCAGCATGGGGCAAGAACAGCCTCACAACGACGACAAGGACGTCCCCCCGGTGACGCTTCCTTCTCCTCAAGCACCGCCATTGACAGGCAATCCACTCCATGCCGATAATTGGGCGGATTACATCCCCACGACCGACCATGTCAAGTTCTTCAGGTCGCGCGAGTGGGGGAAGACGTGCATGGGGGAGTTGAAGACGTGGGGCGTCGCGTTGAGACTTCAGGTGTTTATGGTGCTGGCTGATTCGAGAGCTGCTTGTTTGTATTGGTATGTTCTCTCTCCTCTTGACACGTCACAACTCCTCCCCCGCCGAACAGATCGAGTCCATTCGTCTCTTCCCTAATCCCCATGCCCTAGTTCCCTTGCCCTAATCTGCTCCTTTGAACAGTTGGCGTTCCTTTCCTCTGGCTCTCCCCAATTCCTTCTCCTAGAGCGGATCGAGACTCCCCCCTTTCTCCTGTCCTTCACACCTCTCCCTCATATATTGAAGATTCTAACATTCACTTTCTCAGGGGTCCCGAGAAGGCCGCGATATATAACACCGCATTCGTTCCATTGGCAAGAAACGCTCACCCCAGTCTCATGGGCAGCCCTTTTTACGTTGGCTTTCCGGAACTCTGGGACCAGATTCGTCCGGTATTCGATGCAGCAGCTAGAGATGGAGTCAGTCACGATGTCAGGGAAATGCCCATGATCGTGGAGCGCTTGGGATTTGCGGAGGAGACATATTTCACCGGCAATTTCACGCCGGTTAGAGGAGAGACAGGGAACGTGGAGGGTTTTTATAACGCGGTCCATGAGATCACACGCCTGAAGATTGGGGAGAGGCGACGCGAGATGCTGGCAGCAATGGAGATTCCTGCTTTAACGGATCCGGTAGGTTTCTGTTTTATGGTTGTTTCTCCCCGGTATCCTCTTCTCCGCGCATTTGCTGACGCATTTGCAGAGAAGGTTGAGAGACCATGTGATCCCAGCACTCTCCAAGAACGCGGCCGATGTTCCCTTGGCGCTATTATACAAAGCGGATGACAAGACGACCCCAGGTGTTACATGGTGCCTACTTCGTGGTCGAGTTGGCGTTCCGGATGGCCACCATCTTGCCGAACTGTCCCCAGACCTCAAAAGCGACGTTGGTCTAATGCCTCTCCTTCGGAAGGCGGGCCGGAAGAGCATCACTGTGCCAGTTGACCATGCATTTGATGGCGTCGAATGGCAGGGATCTGGTAATGCGTGCAAGTTCGTGAGCATACTCCCAATCGTTGCCACAGGGAAATTACACGGTTACCTTGTCGTTGGCGCCAATCCAATGAGACCTGTCGATGAGGACTACTACGAATACATCGGCGAGCTGTCATCAAAAGTCACTTCACTCGCAGCCGCTATCCTGACCGCCGACGATATCAGAGAGCGGGAACAATCCCTTCAGAAGCAGCTTGAAGATACGAATAGGCGAGAGCAGTTGTTGGCAAAGCATTCAATCGATGGTTGTTCGTATCTCTTGGACGATGGACGTATTGTTTGGGCAAACGATCAATACTATGAGATCACTAAGCATCCTCGCCAAAAAGAATCGCACTACCCGCTCTCCTTCCTCGACACGGTCATTGAAGAAGACCGACCGAAGGCTGCCGAAGCATGGAATCACGTTGTTCAAGATCAAGTAGAGGGAGGGCTCTCAGTGGAGCTCCGGCTGAAACGAGATTTCACACCCCCATCAGGAGACCCCGAACCTGCAATTGTACGCTGTCACCATGTCTGGTATGAGGACCACTCACTTGCCCATGCCAAGGGCGTCATGACTTTTATTGCTGATGTTTCTGCCTTCAAATGGGCCGAAGCTTCTGAGGCTCGCAGAGCAGATGAGAATTATGAAGCCAAACGCCAGCAAGAAGAGTTCATCGACTTCATTTCACATGAATTACGAAACCCGCTTTCAGCCATTTTCCAATTGGCAGAAACGATTACCACGTCCTACCCAACCGCCGAAGGAATGGAAGTATCAAACGCAGAACTCAGCCAGGCACTCAAGCAGAATATCGATCATGCTGATACGATTCTCATGTGCGCGAAGCACCAAAAGCGGATTGTTGACGATGTTTTGACATTGTCAAAACTGGAGTACACCATGCTTGCGGTCTCTCCTGTCCCTGTGCAGCTTCCAAATCTTGTCCAAAAGTGGATGAAGATGTGGGAGTCTCAGCTCTCTTCCTCTGATATCAAGATCAATGTCCATGCTCACCCATTCATGAAAGCTCACGGCATCGACTGGGTCCTCTGCGACGAGTTACGAATGCAGCAAATCTTCATCAATCTGTTCACGAACGCTATGAAGTTCACGTCGACCGAGACGAAGAGAGAGATCAACGTTGAATATGGTGCGGTTCTGAAGGATCCGGAATCGTCATTCCCGAAGGAAATTAAATGGGCTCGCAATCAGAAAGAATTAACGGATTTGACACTGGATCCGGACTGGGGTTTGGGTCAGCAGTTGTATTTGACATTCGCGATCACCGATACGGGCATTGGTATGACGGATACAGAGATCAAGAGACTGTTTGGGCGGTTTGAGCAGGCGAGTGCGAAGACTTCTATCCAGTATGGTGGATCGGTGCGTGTCCTCTTTTCACGCGGTTGACCCTTTCCCCCGTCATTGATGCTAACACCTCTCTCCTTCAGGGCCTGGGTCTCTTCCTCTCGCAACGCCTCGCCGAGCGTCAAGCAGGAGCTATTGGTGTCGCATCTGAATATGGAAAAGGCAGCACCTTCGCTTTCTATGTCAAATCCCGCCGCACGAATTTGCCGTCCTCCCAGCAGGCCGCATTGCCTCTCCGCACCATGACGAATCATCCGCCGCCAGCAACTCGTCATCATTCGCACCCTCGTACTTCTCTTCTCTCCGCCTCTCAAGTGCCGAACCTCGACAAGATGCACGTCTTGCTCGCAGAAGACAACCTGGTCAACCAGCGTGTTGTCCAGCAGCAACTAAAGAAGGCAGGTTGTGTTGTTTATGTTGCAAACCACGGCGTCGAAGCTCTCGAAATCGTCCGCGAGTCCGATCTCTGGCACGAAAATACCGGGAAGGAAGGAATCAAGCACCTCGACATCATCTTGATGGATTGGGAGATGCCCATCATGGACGGCCTGGCCTGCTCTCGTGAGATCCGCAAGTTGCAAAAGGAGGGCAAGGTCGTCAGACATGTCGAGATTCTGGGCACGACGGCGAATGCGAGAAGTGAACAGGTGAAGATCGCGATCGAGAGTGGCATTGATGAGGTCGTCTCGAAGCCATTCATGGTCTCCGATCTGTTGGCCACGATGCGCGAGCATCTTAGCTTGCCGCAGCGCCCTGGCAGTGGAGAGCGGGCCGCCACTGGGCCATGATTAGATGGAAGGATACGATTGCGTATTCGTGATGGAATGATAATGGTTCTGATTGTATAAGTGATACCCATAAATGCATTAGATGAGATGATACTTGGTCTCTTAGGGCCGGATATTACTAGATGCATAAAGAATAGATGAATAAATGAATGAGTAATGAAAAAACGAACTCAAGTCCAGTCTTTGAATTCTCATTGAGAAGTGGCTTGGCCACATATATCGTCATCCATCTGAACTCCCATCTTCCCCTCGAAGTTCGACCTTATACCTCTGATCATAAATCCATCCCATCGGATCTTTAGGCTTCTCCTTGCTCAGTTTCGGATCGCCGCTTGGTAGCCAGGTTGTGCTTAGATCTACAAACCATCGCAACCACCAGGTGTCTACCCAGCTCATTACAACGCCAGTCCAGTAACTCTGCTTCGTCATGCTCTTTGAGCGGGGAATGCGGGCGGAGGTGTAGGCGGAGATGGCGGCGGAGAAATCTAGTTCGCCGGTTTGTGAAGAAGGTGGGTTGTTCAAGAGGGCGTTGGCAAGGACTGTGGCGTCTTCGATGGCGAAACATGCTCCTGTATTTCATCAGCATCTTGCAGGTGGAGCACAAAATCGATGCCAAGTGACGAAATGACGGAAAAGATACCTTGGCCACTAGTAGGCAACATAAGCCTACTCGCGTCCCCAATTAACACCATGTTCTCCCCTACGATCTCCTCCGCTTCCCAAGCGCGGGAATATAGCGGCGTTCGGACTATCCTCTCGCTGTTCCGTAACAGATTCCCGAAGGTGCCTGCTGTGGGATGCCACGCATTTTCGTACTTCTCCAGAACCTTCTGGGTTTCTTCGAGAGAGTAGCCGCCGAGGCTGACGGAGGCACCGTATAAGTTGCTCTCACCCTCTCCCTCTCCCCGTCTCGTTGCGGCAGCAGATTTCCTTTCCGGCGGCGTCTTAGTGAAGAAAGTCAGTGTCCAGAACACCTTCCCTTCTCGCAAAGCCCAAGTAGAACCCATACCGCCGTTGAGGAAAACCCAGTGCGTGTCTCCTTCCATCTGCTCCTCCCCCTCTCCCACCCGATCTCCGGACCTCTCCATCCGTCTCGAAACGCCGTAAATCGCATCCGCGCCCGCAAACGCCGGGCTCCAGCTCTTCCTCTGCGCTTCCATCTCTCTCTCTCTTCCTCCTTGTCATCTACTTTCCCTTTCCCTTTCGAGAGAGACGTCGGCGTTGCTTTGGAAGCAACAATAAGCCTCCTCACAAAAGACCAGCCCCCATCAGCCCCAATCACCAATCCAGCACGCTCCTCGATCCCGCCCTGGAACAACATCTTCACACCCTCGCCATCATCCACGCGCTCCACCCAACGGAGACTCCGCTCCCAGACTACCTCGCCTCCTAATTCTCGCACCCTGTCTAAAAGGAGAGATTGCAGGGCTGCACGTTCTACAACGCGCAGACAGGTGGAGAGGTCGGAGTGCCAGTTTGGATGGAGGATTTGATTGAGCTGCTTGCCCCCACTTCTACTCTCACTTGCACCGACGGGTGCAGGGCGGTCTTGTTCTTGGGACTGGGGGGAGGGGGAAGAAGGGAAGGAGCGAGAGATGAGGATGCGTTGTGTCTCGCAGCTGATGGCGTTAAGTGCGTCTTTCAAGCCAAGCTCGTAAAGCGGGGAGAGCGCGTTGGAGGTGAGGGCTACTGCTGCTCCTCCTGCTTCCCTCTCCTCTGGTAGCCGTTCGTAGATTACTGGTTTGTAGAGCTGGGAGAGGAGGGGATGAGAGAGGATTGTTAGGGCGAAGAACGGGCCTGCGATGCCGGCGCCGATGATGGCTATGGTTGTCTTTTTGGGCGGTGGTTCTGCCATGAGGTTGCGGAAGGGAGGTTGGTGAAGGTTGTGAGGGGAAGAGGTGCAGATGTTTGAATTGGATTGAGTTGAGTTGAGTTGGATTGTGAGGTCAGGTCGGGTGAATGTAGATCCGAGACATCAGGTGATGCCGTGTGAGGTGGAGATATGATGAATTAGGGGGCTGGAATGGAGAGGTGGGTGAAGCAGTGTGCAGTGGCGAATAGAAGGAAGATACAAGCGAGATATCAAGCTGGCCGGGCAGAAGGGAAATAGGGGTGAAGCACGTGATGCTATTTGGGTCATTCGATCTGATAAATGAGTAGAATTCTGTGATCAACCAACCGACGAAACCTTACCGACTTGCCTTTTGCATCATGATCTCCAAGGGTTTGAGATCTCTTCCGAAGTTTGAAACGGAATCACATTAATATTTGAATTTTCTATTTTCAAGTGTGGGTTTGTTTACTTTATTAGCCTCTGCTCCTTGCCTTCTCCCTTACTCGCTACACTTAATTCCCTATCCTCCCTTCGTAAGTAGATACAATGTACCCGCACGTCCCTTCCCGGGTCCGAATTTTGCGAGTAATAGGCTAAGGCCCTGTTTCGCACGGACGCACGTCTTTTGATTGCTAGCAACTGCCAACAACTATTACTAGCAAAGCTAGTATCCGCATAATTTAGAAGTGCTTCGCAAAATGCAAAAACTCAATAACCATTGCCATTACGGAATTTTTAGAGTAATCTCTGGTGATCTTAAATCTTAAGGCTTACTTTTCTTTAGTAATTACTCCTTATAATTATAGGGTATTATACCCTAATATTTATTCCTCTCTTAAGGCGAAAGTAATTAATTACATTACATTACATTGCATTACTATAACTTTACTACTAAGAAAGAATTCGCAATGAAAATTATATAAGAAGCACGATATTTATATAATAATTAAAATATCATACCTTAAGGAGAGCTATAAAGGTAGTAGAAAGGGCACATGGCAAAAGCTAGTATTTAAACGCTTAGTTTTTTCAGAACCACTTATGGTAGGTTGTTCTGAAAAAACTGCAATTTATATGGGAGCGAATACTAGTAATCGAACGCTAGTAATGGCTGCTAGTATACAAATATTTGCGAAACACATGAATTCCTAATAATCGAAAGCTGGTGTTCGAATACTGCCCAAATGCTAGCATTCAAAGGTTGCGAAACAGGGCCTGAGAGAGTAAGTTGGTTCGCTAATACCGGTACCTCCGTATCGTATCTTCACCACTGACGGGGGAGAGCGAAAGCGCATGGAGTGCATGTTAAGGTTACATGAGGGCTGAGGAACGGACTGGGGCTCTGTCTCGTCTGTTCAGATAATTGGACACCAATGCATGCCCTTCAGCCACTACCCTATGAAAAAACGGTCGGTTCGCCCTGTGAGACTTCGGGGCTGCATGCAAGGTTTCGGGCCCAGCCGTTATGGCCTCGCTTCAATTTTCAGCTCCACCTCTGTCAGGATGTTTTATTACGGTGGCTTTCCCTCAACCTCGGGTGGCTCACGCTTCCCGGATTCGACATCTCGAAGTCTTTGAGGAACGACGATACGATGGTTGCAATTCCGGCCACGAGGATGATACTGTTGGCAGCCCGGAAATCGTCGAAACCAAAGTCGTCGAAAGTGACGATGTAAGAATTTCCCCTCTTTCACATCTGCCTGTCCTTCTGTTATTTTGAGCCAAAGCTGATGTGGGATCGATATCGTAGAAATTGCACGAACGACTGCTCATGGGGCAAATATGGAAAATGGATTCTAGTGGGGGTCATACTGATGTTCGTCCTTGTTGCACTTTTGATGTAAGTCTTATTCTTCGGTGAATGTGGGTGGAGATGGACACACTTTGCGGTAAAGGAAATGAAGGCGCTGATGCAAAGTAGGTGCTGGCATTCTCATTGGCAGTTGAAGAGGAAGCGTAAGCCGATTAGGGGGACTGTTTGGATGGGGAAGGGCGCCCAGCATTTAGTCAGACGCGCGACTACCTTTAGACAGGGCAGAGGCGGAAGACGACCTCCTAGACCACCCCCAGATGTGCGCGAGGTGAAGGATGTGGAGAACAAGGCCGTCAGAGTTGAGGGAGCTGGAGTACAACCTCTCGTTGGCCATGGCGGAATGCCATCACCAGGACCACCTCCAGATTTCCAAGCGGAGAAGGGTCAGAATTCAGGCGTTGTGGCAGTTGCAGAGCCAGCTCCCGTTGTAGGTCATGGCGGAAACCCGCCTCCAGGACCGCCTCCAAATGTTGGTGGGGAGAAAAGTCTAAACAATGAGAGTGCAGCCGTTGAGGGAGGCGAAGGACAACCCCCGGTTGGCCATGGCGGCAAGCCACCCCCAGGACCACCTCCCGGGTACTCGATGGGAGCTGGCCAGGTGTAGAGTTGAAGAGTTGAAGTGTGTTCAAGATAACGGTGCTGGAGCTATTTCTGGGGTTTCAGGTATGTGGTAGGCATTGAATGATTGTGTTGTGCCGACTACAAGCAATATCGTAGGCTTGTGAGAGTTCGAGATCCAGGTAACTTTATCTAATGCAGCCCCCTTTCTTTCATGCGACAAATTACGCCCTACTTCTGTCGGATGCCATTCAATAAGGGTCGATTAAAGAGCTAATAAGCTGAGCAAGCCGAGCAAGCCGTAGCTATATATAAGAGATCACATGCTACTGAAGCGTGCTAGCCAAGGAGTTGCAATAAGCGGACGCCGCAATCGTATCATCTGACAACTTCACCCTCCAAAATTCTCAATCTAAATACCACCAACCTCCCTCTTATGACAAATACCTTCGACTTTCCCTCCATCCCGAATTCCTTATACGGCATCTCAATCTCCTCTAGAACTCTGTACCCCTCCTCCTCAAACAGTTTCACACTCGTTGGCCCCGTCCTAGCAAAAGTAGCTTTCCCAGCCATATCAGCAACGTCGTTACACTTCCTTGCAATCATTCTCCCAAATCCTCTCCGTTGATAATCTGGATCTACCCCAGTTCCTTGTCTCACTTCCTGTTTTCAGCTTCTCAAGTCTCAAATATCTTGGAGGGAAGAGGAACGTACTGAAGGGCTGAGTTGGGTCATAACCGTTCTTAAACAAACATTTCAAAAACGTTCCCTCGGAAAAGGCCGAGAATTTAAGCAACGATTCGGGGATATCGGGCGGTAAAGCGGGCAGGCCCTGGATTACCTGTTTTTGCTCTGGGGTTAAGTCCATCGGGATCCCTAGGCCACCATACACGCTACCATTTTCCTATCCCCCCAATATCAAGACTCATAAATCAAAACTTGGGAAGGATGAAGGAGGAATCAAGGCTGTGGAATTTGCGTACCCGTTTTCGTCAACAACTTTGTATGCTGTACAAGCCCCGGTTCCAGCCCAACCGTCATCTTCCCTTCTAGTATGGCTCGACAAACTGCGTACGCTTCGGCTGGGGTCACGGCTGCGTTCAGTGTCTTGGTGATGGGGTCCCAGCTCATGGAGTGGAGGAAGATACGAGTCTTTTCGTCGAGGTCGGCTGATACTGCCTCTTGGAGGAAAATCGGGTGGAATCCATCTCGAGATATAGTCAGATTTTGGATGAGACGGGAGTAGGGCAGGATTTTAGGCGGCGAAGGGTCAAAATCCAAAAAACCCAAACACCCAAACACCAAAACTGCGAATCGCATACTACTTAAAATTAGGCGTGCAATTGCACTAAAATTATACTAAGACTCGTAACTATTATAGCTAGTAAATAAAACTAGGTAATATACTAAGATAAGCTAGTTACTATTATTATAGGGAGTTCTCTACGTATTATAGTGAGCTGTTTCTCAAGGAGCTGCCCCTAAAGGAGTTTTTTACGTATCGCAGTGAGCTATCCCCTAGGGAGCTATCCCCAGGCTGCCATTCCGAGAAGGGCTACTCAGGCACAACTTAACCGCCTATATTGCTCAGAGGCTTCGCGAGGACCCCAGATTGTTCGATATGTTCGACGAGCCTCCATCGTACGCTGCACTCACGCAGATGTCAATAGGCAGCGGCGAGAGCCTTGCTACTGTGGCAGGAATTTTAGACCTCATTCTTCGGCGTGGAGGTGATTCAAATGTGAGATCGCGAACACCAAATATATCTGACTTGGTCTCACCCGTGGGTCATTTTCTTGCGCGGAGTCTTGTATTTCTTCAACGTGTTGTCGAACACGTCCATGTTCCCCGCTATGCGATTCAACGACTCCTTGGAAAATGGACTCTTTGATCTCTTGCTGTCCTATGGCGTAAATTCTAATCAGCCTTTATTGGATAGGAGGGGATCGCACACCGTTTTCTCGCACTTTCTGGATATATCGTTATCCAGGTTTCTGGGTAGCGAATGTTTTGACAGCTATCTCAGGATTTTAGATGCCTTCTTGCGATTTGGCGCCAGCCTCGGTGTTCCTATCCTGGCCGCGGATTCTGAGGGCGAAGTAGCACAAGGGAAGCTCGCGAGGCCTCGTCCGGAGGAACCGATTTTGACGTCCTACTGCACAGAACTCGGGACTCTTTCCCAATGACTAGCAGCTGATCCGGAAAGAGCGAGTTTCGTCTCTACAGTGACGGAGAAGCTTGTTTTCAAGCGTGCTGGGAAAGAGGAAGACTTGGGACAATTGTCTAATGCGATATCTAATACCCTGAGGCAGTTGCGAAACAATTATTGCGACTGGTCGAATCCGAGTTAGACTGTTCTAAGAACCGCAAGAGGCACCAAGGGAGCTGGGGTAATGAGCCGTCGGGTTCTGACATCAAGCATTCAGATGCGGGTAGTCTAATGCTAGATATTAGAGGGAACCAGAACCTTTATCGCATGCGAGGAGAGGGGAAAGTTTCGCTTGAAATAATAGTGTGGTGAGAAGTCGGGTAATCCAAGCAGGCATAAGAATCAAAAGGAGACCATATCAAGTTCGTGCAACTAAACAATGAACAGCAATGATTGCTGTTAAAATTACATAATTTAGGAATTGATTTCGTAATAATAAAATATAATCACCGGAACTTGATTATAGTGATATTATGCCTTACTAAGCCGGAATAGGGCGCTTTTGCCAATAGGATCTGTGTAAGAATGTCGGAATTAGTGCCTTAAATTATGCTCGACTTTTGCTTAATTTTATACAATGCGTTATGCAATACGTATTTAACAACTTGATTACTATATAATTACGCCGGACTTGATTACTTAATAATCGGACGCAATTACAATTCGCCCATCCCTGGGCGGCTGACAGCTGGCCGACCCCCAGCGATTTGTATTTGGGCCATTTAGGGGCTCTCCTTGACTAATGAGGGGTAAACGAAATTAGGCGACGTACCTAAAGGACGACGCGAGACACCCCACATGCTCGCGGTAGACAAAAAAGCTGGACAAAATACGTTCTGAAAGAACCATGCTCGTGTTTTTTAGAAGTCTGAAACTAATGGCAATAACTGAAAGAGATCTGCAATGGTAGCGCGAGAAGCTCTTATTGCCCCTGCCGATCAAAATAGACAGACGGTTTTTCTAATCTTAAATCAATGATCTTCCAGAAAATCCACAAAGAAACAGGGTTTTGGGCGTATTTGGGCACAATCGAGCTCCTCCGGCTGACTCAAAACCCTGCAAATACCGTGGTATTTCGCCAAGGGTTTCAGACTTCTAAAAAATACGAGTACGTCCGTACTGTCCCAGAACAGCACCAAATAGTCCTCAAGCGCCTACACATTACAATGATTTAGAACAGGTGTCCTGAAAGCGATAAGTAGGGATAGACAATTAATTTTAATTGCTACCCCATTAAGATATAATTAAATATAATGCTCTTGAGCCGATTAAGCGTTAAATTAAGTTGGTCCGGAAGAGGGTATAAATCCAGCCAATCAGAGGGCTGGAAATTAATACACGTAACAGACACTTCTCCTGTCTTTGAGAATATTCTTCCTATACACCAGGTTAGATATTAGTACTCTTATTAACTATATTTTAGTATTAGAGGATATTAATATAAGTAGAAGAGAGAAATAAAAATATATCTTTAGTTCTTATTATTATTTCATATAACTGTTATTTTTATTAAAAATCATAAATTTATATATAAAATAATATATATAATAATAGCAAGCCTATTATTATATAATAATACTAAGCCGATTAAATACTAATTAAATAATTAAATTTTTTCTATCCCTAGTAATAAGGCTATACAAGCGATTAGGCCAAGTATTTTATGTAATAAATTTATATAAGAGATATCCTCGTTCGGCCGGGCTTACTTGGTTCTTACTTAGTACACTTACTAGGTGAGAGAGGGCAATATATAAAAACCAGTAATATGCAAAATTTTCCCTGCCCTCCTACTATTGACTTTTCAATTTACTAAAATGCCACCCAAAGTAAAAGATATTGAAAAGCGAATTACTAAGGCCTCTAAGACTATGAATCGAGATTCTAGACTCAAAGAAACGAAGGCTATAGCTCATTTTTGGGCCTCGTATGATTAATTAATAGCCCGGTAAAGGGGTTGTCTTATAAGTAACTCTCGGGGTAAATATAATAAAAAACTTTTAGTACTATAAGATAAGTCTTTAAGAGATTATTTCTTAATACTTTATATCTCCGGGCGAAGTTCTAACCTGGAAGTAATTTAAATAAGTATCTCTAAGCTAGTTTATTATAATACTGGCAATATTAAGTTCTTTGTATTTTATAGATAAATAAAAGCCTGAATTACCTATAATTACGAATTCCTAAAATAAATTCGAAAGAAATTAATATCTACAAAATGTCTAAATATATATATTATAAAGGATATTAAAAAGTATTTTACTAATTTTAATAAATATAGAAGAAAATATAGTATTTATATAGAGGATATATTTAATTTTAATAAGAATAGCTTTTAAATTAGAGTAGTAATGGGAAATATTATATATATATTACTAAATTATAAAGTAGTATATAATACCGATTCAAATAATCGAGATTTAATTATAGTTATAGCTATAATTAATTATAATAAAAGAAAAGTTCCTATATATATTATTTTTAGGAAAATATACTATTTTATAGATATTTTCTATAAATATTTAATAATAATATTGAATTTATATATTCTTTTACTAGTTTTATAAATAATTGCCTGGGTTTATAATATCTTAAGTACTTTATTAAATACTATTCTTCTTTATAAACGGGTACCTATAGGATCTTAATTTTTAATAAATATAGTTCTTATTTATTTAATGAATTTTTATATCTTTATTAGGAGAATTATATCTAATCTTTTAAATTACTTATATATATAATTTATCTTTTTAATTACTTAATATTATTATTTTCTAATCTTTAAAATACTAGTTTTAAAAGAAGCTTTATTAAGAGATTTTTAATAATATAAAGAAGTTTAATAAAATAGACTTCTTTATAATTTTCCAGAGGTTTTGGGATAGGGTTTTCAAGAGCTAGTATATTAAAGAACTACTTATGCTACTTATATTACTCATACTACTTATAAATATTTATAAGTAGTATAAGTAGAATATAAGTAGTATAATATTCTAAAAATTTAAATAAAGTAAAGTATATATTTATAAGTAGCTACTATATAATAATAATAATTTAATAATATAGGTATTTATTAAA